AAAGTGAAACATTAGAAAAGTGCCTGAATGGCTGATTATAGTCGCTTCCACGAATTATTCCAATGATAAAATTGTCGCAACTCTCCTACCTTCTGGTTGTGTTTAAACAAATCCGCAATTATCCCACAGTCAATTAGAATTTTCATTGTTTTTCTTTTTGAAACACCAACCCCCAAACAGGTGATCCTTCATCCCCTGTAGAGTACTTTGTGTTTGTAGGAGAAAAAAAACATAATAAACCGCGTTAGGAACAAATTTTGCCTAAAGAGAAAGTTTGACGGGGAGAAGAGAAAAACTTGATGAAGTCAAACTCGAGAGACCTAAACCACAAATAGAGGGAGGAGGGATGGAAGTGAATGAACAAAGTGTCGAAAAGGCAGAGAGAGAGAGAGAGAGGGAGGGAGAGAGGCGAAAAGAAGGGAGGGAGGGAGGGAGGAATGCGGCTGTCCATAGTCCACCCTCAGGGCGTTTTACTTCCGCTCCGACAAAACCGCAAGAAATATGCATCAATCATAGACCGCAAGAAGGGGGCAAATCTCCTTAAACTCCATAACTTACATCCCCCCACACACCCTAATTTTACCTGCCAAAACGTCCAAATACTAAACCACCTTTCGCCTCAAATTTTTCCTACAAGAGAACACTTCAAATACCTTTCGCACATTTTTCTTATACTCTATTTATGGTGAGGGAATTTGTCATTTTTCCACAGACTACAATCAATTTCAAAGTGGATTTACAACTTCTGTCCAGACTTTGACCTCACACACACACACATTCGCGACAAAATACTCTAATGCGATTAGAAAGTCTGAATTCTTGTCAATTTAAGTGCGTTGGGAGGAAATTTCAGAGACAAGGGGTGGTCAAAAATATTCTCGATGCTTCATTGGTGGAAGCAAAGGTGGGAGAGACCTCGAAAGGCTAGATAGCGAAACGAGAAATATCAATTCAACTCCAATTCTTTGAGTTATAGGCTGAATATTAGCTCTGGTATGAGGCAAAACCTCATAATCCGCTTGGGAAATTTGCCTCTCAGCTAGCTGAACTCCTTTCAAGGGAGGGAAGTTTTCATCAGGCAGTTATTTCCAGACCCCAAATGGAGATTAACATTTAAATCGGTGTTGCTTGTAGACAGGTGCAAAAGAAACAAATTGAAACCGCTTTTACGCGCCAGAGGGAAAGTATTTCTCTCGACCTCTTTTTCATTCAAACATACTTCCTCCTCTTCTTCTTCTTTCGCCTTCATTTTTATACGTTTGTCTGTGTTTACACGGAATATGGGACTTTATTCCTCACCTAGGCGGTTGGGTGAATTATTTCACATTGTCCATACAACTAAAATCTTGGAAAAATTTGGGACAATTTGGATTCGGTGCATGGAAGCAGGTGTGGGGTAGGTATTAACTTCGGTCTCGTAAAAATGGACTTTTTGGAACTTCGATCTAACATACACGTCTCTTAACGACTCGCAGGTGGTAACGGTCAACCGCCTACATTCAACGACTATATTTGTGGTCTGGAAATAGCCACCCTTAGGGCGAATGGGCGATACATTCAACAGGGGTTGGGGCGGTTATTAATACACCTCGATTGCTAACTGTACCAAATAATCTCTACTACTGAGAATATAAAATAGGTCACTTAATAAAGGCGTTGTATTGACACAAGGATATGAGCAGTTTTTCGAAAGTAACAGTATGGTCCAATATTGCCCTGTTATGTTGAATAAGTCCACTAGACGACTATTTGGCTCTTTGGGGGCAAAACGGGGAGACTCATTCGGGTAGTATCAAAAAGCACTGCATTCAATTAACTGCTCAACAGACCCTGAATGACGAGAGAAAAGAAACCAAAAAGGTCGAGCTCTGAAATGTCCGACTCGGAGCTTAATAAGCCAAAAATCTGAGCAATGGTAATCGAAAAGATTCTTAATGTCAGAAAAAAAACACTTTTATCGTCTTATCGCATTTGTGCTGGTAAAAAAGTATCATACTTTTGTACTTTACCGTTAGCACTAATAATGGGTGTAATGGTATGCTAATCAAATTATCAATTTTAGTACTCCTCTATAGTAATGTAGCATTTGAAATTTGCGCTCAATTAACTGCGTATTATTTTCCTCAAGTTGTAGATTTGATTTATAATCAATCCCTCTATCCCCCCCCTCCTCTATTAATGTTCGATAATTATTGAAATATTCAAACTGTGGACTGTGGATAAATTCAGCCCACAGTCAGCATAAATCGGCTCACAAATACTAGTGTCATAAGAAGTTGACAGTTCAGTCGGCTCTTCAAAGCGCGCCAAAACCCAAATTTCTTTTGTGATTGACGACTCAAGCAGCCCACTCTACAGCATATCACTCCTTCTCTCAAGACAGAAAGAGAGAGCAAAAAAACAATATTCCCACGATGTATAGGTAAAAGAGTGTGAATTTCAAGCAGCATCGTCATCTCATGTGTTGAGTCTGTGAAAGTATCTTCGCGCTTTCTCTCTCTCTCGCTCTCCTTGTAAACCGAGCAGTTGTACTGTTAAGGCCCTACTGACTCTCATCGTATTTTTGTTTCATTTTCGACATGCAAAAATTCGTGATATTTTACAGGCCTTTTAGCCTGTAATTGAGAGGCAAACACAAAAACACACACAAAAAACTCGACAATAAAGGTTTCAAGGAGGGGGGAAAAAATGCAGGTCGGTACGACTAAACCGAAAAATCTAATTCGGTTAGAGGCCCATCTGAATGTAGAAAATGGAGAGAGGGAGAGGGGGGTGGGGGAGAAAAAAGGGCTGAAAGAAACCACCACTGTAATTACCTTCTTCATATCTCCACTACCCCTACCACCACCACCACCAAAATGGTGTGAGGGTAACTGTTTCACTTTCAAGAAAACAGGTTTAAGACCCCCAGCAAAAACCGTGAAGCCCAAACGATTAGTGAAACCACAAACGACTTTGTTAAAGTCAACAAAAAGGAACACGAAGATAGAGTATAATTCAAAAGTAAAATAGGCAAAACTATTTCGTTTAGAATAATCGAGAGAGAGAGAGAGAGAGAGAGAGTGAGTGAGAAAAAAAGAACGTAGTGCCACAATTGCGTTGTAAACTTAATAGCAGAACAGTGCGTTCAAAAATGCTAGGCTAAAACGTTCTCAGGAATTAAGAAAAGGTCAGATGTGATCTAATGAAGAATTGAGTAAAACTTTAAAACATACCCCTTTCCATTAACTTAGAAACCATTTTATAGAACATTGATTCACTGCGCGCAAACACACACACACACACACACGCACACACACACACTAAATGCCTCATTTTTCCCCTTACCATGAGATGAGGTTCTCATGAGAAGGTTTGGATGAGAGTAGAGAATTTCTCAGCTAAATGCTAGCTCCGTTTTTTCTCTCCCATTCTAGTAGTTTTGATTGTTGTGCATTGCCCCAGGAAGCTTTCCAACCAATTCAACTATTTCTAGGCATTTGTGATATTTTTTTCTCTCAGAGAGGGGCTAATATCCCTATGAGAACTGATTCGTAATAGGTTATATCCTTACAATGAGAAACCTTTCAGACAGTTGTAGGATAGAGTATGGTACTGGGACATTCCAAATCATTGGTCCCACCTCACATCCAAACACTCGGGATTTCTAATTAAAGGCACGGAGAGAGGGCAAAAATACAATGATAAGAGTAATTTCCCAGAGCAATTATGTTTGCACACAAAAAATAATAGAAACTAATGAATTCAATCCCTCTGCCGCCTTACCATCCACATTGGACACCAAAATTGCCCACCAAAAAAGGAGGTGTCTCTATTCCCAGCTATGTGGGTTTATGTATATATATATATATATACATATATATATATTACATGAGAATAAAATAAATTTGCGCTGGTAGATTACCGCCGTCTGTACGCTTCTATGGTAGATAAAATACTGTCCTACGCGGTTTGCCCTATTGTGTCCAGCTGTGATATGATAGCGACGATGCGTCAGCAGCCCATTAACACAAAAGGATGGGGGAAAAAAGTCCAACACACCGGACTGAGAAGAATGAAATGTGAACGGGCATTGTGTATGCATTGAGACGCAACTGCTAACGTATAATCTCTCTATCCCTCTCATTCTTTGGGTCAAATAGATACACACGTGATAGAAAGGACCTTGTTTACACAGAGGCCCTCGGTTGGCAGAGTGAAAACATCTTTCCGGACTAGCACGTGCACGAATTCTCACGCACATACACACACATGTAGATGCGTCTTCAAGCCATAGGCATGAATCACAACCGTCGTCTCATATGGTATAATTTAAGTTGTGTGTTAATGCTTCTCCAGAAAGCCTAAACACCTTTCTTTAATGCTTCAATCTAACTAATTGGTAATGGCCGCCTCGGAGGAGCAAATTGAAACTCGCTGACTAAGCCCCCTTCAAACAGTCATCTTGCAGACAATAGGGGGGGGGGGGTAGTGAGATTAAGATAAGAAACAAGAAAAAGTAACAAAGACCCCTAATCGAGCAGGAGTGAGAGAGATCTAAATTTCCACTGACAGAAAATGATCTCTGCTTACGTGAGGAGAGAGAAATTAAACTTCGGTTTTCTGGAAAGCATCCAACTGAACCCTACCCCTCTCAAACAAAGTAATTAGTCAGGAAAATGAAGATCGGATGTCCGAAAAAACTGACGTTCACTGAGGGAAGTAAAAATATCACACCGATGTCAATTTGCTGTTATTTGGAGCCCTTCAATGTGATGCAATTTGACATCCGCGGGTTATAATATTAGCTGACAGTGTTAGGTATTCAATTTTTTACCGACGTCCCAATCTTGAACCCTCCCCCCCCCCCCCCCCCCCCCCCCCCACCCACCCACCCAAGATCCGTATCAAGATGCATTTTGTTTACCTTAAACAAATTTGGGCATTATTTGAAATACCGCCTTCGTAATGACAACTAATGGATCATGTGGTTAACAAATTACGACGTGGCGATAGTTTATTTAAAATCCACAAGCCATGGGTTTCTTCTTCGATGAGATTAAAAGTTCTATGGCTAAGCAAATGATACTTCTGTCAACAGTAACCTGTAACCTATATGATATGAAGTAAAGACAACGGCTTACCAGTAACACCGACATAGGAATTTTGTCGTGGAGATAAGATGCCTTTTTCAGGGGAGGAAAAAGCAGATTGTCGAATACAAAATCCATTTCTGTAATTATTCCCATCGGGGTTGTTGGATTGTGGAAACCGGCTGTTGGTGATGGAGGAATTCGAATTGTTACTATTTGGAGGAGAGACTACAGTATTTGAGGAGGTATTAGCGGAGGAATTATTGAGTCCATTTGGATGAAAAGCTGCAGCAAGGACCCCCAAATTGGGAGAGGAAAACATGCTTTCGAAAGTTGGAGAATCGATTGGATGATTGATTGATTGATTGATTGATTGACAGAATCAGAAGGATCAGGTAAGTTAGTCGAGTCCGTGTTCTCTAGAAGTGCGTATTATCTGATTGCGACCTCTGGACTCCTTAAGCACGCACACTCAGTTGTGGGGACGTAGTTGAAATGGAACTTAGTGTGGATGTATGAGCGGTACGGGAAGTAAGAAAGCACTGCACGCGTTTACATGGAGGAGGAGACAAATGGAAGCTCACGGCTAATGCGCGCACCACAACTTGCACGCGCGAAACTGACACTTGGACCAATCAGATAGCAGTAAGGGGAACAGAGTTGCGTCACCCTATCGGGAGGGGGCAAGTGACGATTCTCCCTTGATTTACAAATCCCACTGCCCTACTATAGAAATGAGGTCTAGGGTAATAAGTTGGCGAGGGAGAAGGAGTATAAGAACTTGGACTAGAGACCGTCCGTAGGAGCGTCTGCTAAAGGCTTGATTGAATGAATGATTGTGTGAATGTGTGTAATACGTGTGTTGTGAGTGAACGCGCACAGTGCGGAGGTATGTTCGCAAACTGGTTCCCACGATGTGCGACTTTCACACGCTACTATGCATGTAGGTGTATCTCTATGCCACCGACGTCAACTACATATGAGAGAACACATAAGCAGATAGACATACAGATTCACAACCACATACACACACGCACCTATCTGCGTGTGGTGCTAAGTGACACCCAACGCCTTGAGCTCCAAGGGCCTGCATGTATTTAACACTTGGCCCGCTCTTAACATGCTATAACCTAATTCCTTATTGACCCCTTTTATGGTCAATCGCTTATCACCCTCTCCCCTCTTCCCTCCCCCTCCCCCCTCCTTTTTCAAACATTGGGGTTAGCCCATTGTGTATTTTGAGACAGCTTAATTTTTTAAAAGGAATGAAAGAAATGTTCCCTCCCCCCCCCCCCCCCCCAACTTCCCTAAGTATTCAACTTGATAGCGATTGGAATTATCGCTAAGGCAATATTTATGGACTTTGTCAAGGCAATTTACGCTGTCGAGTGTGGTCAATCTTGTTTATAAGCATAAAGCTGGTGAATTAATGAGAGCTTTCTGAATTCACACGGTCACATTTTAACTAAACAGTGGAGGCAGGAATGGTTTCGTTGGTTAATGGTAAAATATCATAGAACCAAAATTAATTTCCATAAAAATCTTGTACCTTTTATAGCCTGAGTTGAGTTAACTGAATTCTAATAAGTTTTTAGTGATTTATTGAAGTTAGCCAACGAGCCGTGCTCTCCAAAGACCCAATGGTGGAAAGGAAGTAAACTGTTCAATTACTTCACATTTTTAATTCCCTCTTTTTGTAATTAAATAGTATAGAAATAATCGGCCTTGAAGAACGTAAAATTCTAGCTTTAAGGACTGGTAGTTCCTTAATAACCTCAAGACAAGATTTAACTACAAGTGAAACCTCAAATTAGGATAAATCTTCACCTCTTGATGTCGGAAATCTACCAATTGCACTCTTCACACGCCTTTATTCCCATGAATTAGAATATTTTCCTCCTAAAAATAGCTATTAAATTGATTATAAAATTCTGTTGCTTGTGAAAACGATTTAATTGTTCTTGACATAACACCTTCGCTCAGCATTCTTGGAGGATTCCAAGTCTTATTTTGAAATCTAATTGAGAATTTTGCCTTTAATCTGTTGAATGTACAACCGCCTTATACGATGGCCATTTCAAAGTGGGTTTCAGGCTGAATATAACTCTAATTTCTAAGGCTCTCTCGAGAGTGGAAATCAAGAGTACATTGAAGATACAAATAGAAACGTATGAAGGAGGGGGGGGGGGGGGGGTAGAAAGAAGAATTTGAAAGAGAGGGTGACAGTACTGTTGTAGATCCATCCGGATTTTGATGAATGGTCTCGATTGGGTGTGTAAAGATAATTGGCTGATATTAAGAAAGTAGTAGTTAGTGGGTCAGGAGGTGACCAATATCTGATGGGACCAAGTTTGTGAACATGTAGCCACTGTAATGGTGAATGTGGTGGAATCTAATCATCCTAGCGAATTAGAACACTTTGGTATTTTGACGAACTGTGGGAACTAACTTCAGTAATTCTCATTGGCCGATAATGAAATTGAAGGCAAGTTCTAGAGGTTGGTTATTTGTGTATTTATAGCTAAATTCCAAATCCTTATAGTCATTGAAAACACAATAATTCACTCTCTTAGCTAAGTTATTTGAAGACAATGAGTGAAGAATGAAAAATTCACTGCAGTTGAAGAGTTGGTGAAGAAGAAATTCGAAATGCTACGAATGTTATGATCGTAGATTCTTCCAAATATAGTTATTAATCACACAATCAAGTTTTCACCTTGGTTAGATTCGCCATCGTTACTCTTTGATGATTAGATAAGTAAATATTAATGTCAATCATGTTTAGTTATCATATTGAAAGGATGCTTCAACAAAACCGGTCTTAAATAAGAAATTCCCTCCAATTTCACCAAATGGTTCCTGACGGAAAAATGAGAAAATTGTTTAACAGGAGCAGGAACAAATCATTTTCTTACGGTTTAATGCCTTGCAGTATTCATGAATAAAAGAAATTGCATTCCTTTAATGTTCGTAATACCAATGGAAGTACTATGGCCTCTCTATTCGTATTTTTCTGCCATTTTATGATAATGTAGTAAAATGCAGACTGCATTTGGCATGTGAGTGCGAATGCTATGGAGGGAGAGAGAGAGAGCGTGTGAGAGATTGAAATCCCCCCCCTCAGGTAATTACCACACCAAAGAAACTTCAAGTTACCAATGTGGGAGATTCCCATACCACAGTCTAGACACATGACAAGAAATGTGTGGACATCATTTTCCAAATTCACATTGCAATATTTACCAAGACAAAGTTGAATTTCAATGCGAAGTCAAATAATGACTACAAAACCGGTCATCCACTTTTTTAAAATCACTGAATTTATGATATAATACTTTTAGCATTATATTCAATGGGGGGGGGGGGAAGAAAGTTAGCTTTAGTGCCAAAAAAATGAAGACATTTTCTTTGACTCCAGTTGTTGGTAGGTTCGCTTCGACCCCGAAAAATTTTTTCAATCGCTGAAATTTGAAGTTCAATTTTCAGTGTTGATCACACTCCGTAAAATTTTTGAGGATAAAAGGGACAATTGAACCGAAATAGCCGTACTTCTCTCATAGTTTGTACAAGCTAGGAATGACTTAAAGCTTATTCTCCTACCCCCCCCCCTCCCCTCCCCCAATAGGTGTTGCTTAGAAAGGTCTGGTAGATTAATATATATTTGAAACCTATGACCAATGAAATAAACTGTCATAACAATCCAGGCGAAACAACAATGAGCGAGCATATGAATGTGAAATCAGAGGTTACGAACACCAACTAGTGGGTTCAATGGTCAATGGCAGAGCCTAAGTCTGATAAATACATTGAATGTCAAAATTTTCATTCTTCTCCCCTCCCCCCCCCCCCCAAAGATTCCCAACATGACGATACTCCTCGATTCATAATGAGCACCAGAAAAGACTTTCCTGAATGGGACTATGAATTATAGTGGCAAGATAGACTCTTTCCTCGAAAACATTTCAAAGTTTCTTAAAAATAAGTTAATTCAAATCAACTCATAGTTCCTCAATGGGTAAATTCTGGGTTCGGTAAATTGTTCACGTCGAAGCACCAAACCCAATTTCCAGTCCTCCAGTGCGCAGAAATTGGAAAGCACCGCCACCCCTAAAGAGGACCCTGAATAGCAGTTTCTTCATCCATTACAACATTATTTGCTAACGGCAAGTCTTAGTTTACTCCTGAATGTAAAACAAAAGTCTCCTTGAATTCAGTATTACCATGTACCTAATGCAAACACCAGTTTTTGCTCACTGCCAGTTTCAACCATCATGGCGTTGAATTTTTCATCTATAGATGAATGAACAGAATGATGAAGCCCCAGGAGCAATACTCTCACGAGCCAGTTCACCAGTCATTAATTAAATAATTAATTATCAGTAAGCACTCTGGGATTTCATATTTTCCATTTCTCCCCCGCTTGCTTGCTTCTGTGTTTGCAATGGCGTTCATACAAATAGGGCTTGACATGAAAATTTCCTATTTGCTGTGTGAATTAACGTACGAATCTCTAAATACCGAAGACTTCAGCAGATGATTAGTTCTACAGTTAAGTAACCTTTTAAACGATTATGGAGGAGTGTAATTTTCCAGGAACATCTAAAGGTCAGCCTCTTGGACATGATGTGCCTCAGTCGTGGATACATCAGAATGAATAGTGAGTGGGCTTTTGCCTTAGTGTAGATGTCTATAACCTTTTCAGCGGTAAAGTTGGACAATGTCATCAGTAATGTTTCCCTATTTAAATTATCCTGCTGAGAAAACGTGAAAACGGCTTAAAATGCCACTGAAATCTTGATAATGAACTTTCTACTTGACATCTATTTCAACTTTCCAGCATTTGGGATGCTATTACTAGCTCATAACAAATTACACTTTAGAAGTTGTTTTCAATTTTATTCTCGGTAAAAGGCAAAAAAATGCAATTTGATAGCTTCAATATTGACAAGGGTGCGCGATAGACTTACCTCCACGTGGTGCACCCTGGGCAACGTATACTCATACGGCAAAAAAGTCTATTAACTGGCAGTTGACTACTGACTTCAAACTACTATCACCTCACTGTATGTTGTATTCAATTACTTCCATAGTACTCATCTCATCTTTTTCCTTTTTGAAACGCTCTTCTATTCCCACCCCCTTCTCGAATTTTTCCACTTTGGTGTTCAATCCAATCTGTGAAGCCTGAAGTCAACTAAAGGGCTAATGACAACTACCAAAACGCCTGCCATTTAATATAAATAAATATTGACAAGTCTAACGACCACTAAGAGCGCTCCACCAACTCATGACTAGACAAAAATTACCTTACTATTAATGAAA